AAAGCGCGCCTGAGGGCGCGAGGGTGTAGATATATAGCAGACTCAGTCTCTGGTCAAGGTTACACTTTTCCTTTGTTTAATGACTCTCTTCACGAGCCCAAGGTTAGCAATAAACTCGCTCCCTGGCACCTTTTCACCTTGCCCCAGATCTGAGAAAAGACGTATGCGTCTTTGGGGACTGCAATAAGAATCTATTTTAATGTGTTACACAAACAGTTTGTCTCGGGTTTTTTTGGCCTCTGCATCGCGCCACGTCTCTGCAAGAAACGGCTGAAGGCTGCTTTCCTACATGCCAGTGGCCCACTTATAACTTAAATGACTAGTTTAGTTAACCTCTCCGCTCAAGTCCAACATATCGTTATGGCAGCAACCGCATAATCTCACTGGCATTAGCATCAGTCATCTTCCCTCTCCGGCTATAAATAATCCTGTCACCAGGTAGGCCCGCATCCGCGCTTGCGAACAAAATATGGAATTTGTGCCTCTGGCACTGTACACTCTAAAAAATGCTGGGTTGTTTCAATCCAACTTTGGGTCAAATATGGACTAACCCAACTTTTGGGTTAAAAATTGAATGTAAAAATGTAACCCAACAGTTGGGTTAGTCCATATTTGACCCAAAGTTGGGTGAAAACAACCCAGCATTTTTTAGAGTGTAAAGTAATTGAACATGAAGCCGTAAGATACTGTGAAAAGTGCCAAAAGTTCTTGTAAAGGTAGTGTTGGGATTTGCAGTGAGAGGATGGCTCACAGATCTGAGATCAGGCTCCAACTTTACATTTGGTGAGGAATTAACAGTCTATAATTGAAGCTGGAAGTGAGTCAAAGTGATTTTGAGGGATCTTTATTTTGTGAAATGAAAACAGACTGCTGCAGCCCTGCAGTGCCTCCATCATAACATCTGTCTATCCCAAGCACATCACACCCTACCCACCAATACACACACAATTTAACCTCTCCGCTCAAGTCCAACATATCGTTATGGCAGCAACCGCATAATCTCACTGGCATTAACATCCGTCATCTTCCCTCTCCGGCTATAAATAATACTGTCACCACATAGGCCCGCATCCGCGCTTGCGCGCAGTGGAAGAGTGAATCAGGCTCCAGAGGTGAAGCACTTTGATAGTCCAGCAGATGAAATATTTTCTGACTTCTCTCACCTCAGGGACTGGCGCACTGATGGAGCCACTCAGATGTGGCCCTGCGAGTCTCAGAGGATTTTCCACAGCCCACTTTCTGCTCGATCCGTGCCAATTAAGCAGCCGAATTATGTATAATAGCAGGAGTGACTCGGATTTGCCAGAGCTGGAACGCAGAGGCCAGGATGACAGAGGGATACCGTTGAATAATTAGAGTGAATTTTCAGAGCCCTGGAAGCTCAATCATACTGTGCCATACACTAACTATTTTTAACCTTATCTCTTTCTTTCTCTTTCTTTGTAATTCTTTCTGATTTCACTTTTTCCTCTCTTTGCTGCTGTCTTCCGCTTTGCATGTTGTGAAATTGCAGCAGGTGTCCTCAGTGTCCTACAGAAGGCACATTCACAACTGGAGTACAAAAATTGGGTCTGAAACTCTTAAAAATTACTAAAAAAATGGTCAGATAATCACTGGTCAACTTTAGGAGGTCAAACTGAATGTTATATTTTGGCACATTCACAACTGGAGTACAAAAATTGGGTCTGAAACTCTTAAAAATGACTTTAAAAACGGTCAGATAATCACTGGTCAACTTTAGGAGGTCAAACTGAATATTTATCCAACATATCGTTATGGCAGCAACCGCATAATCTCACTGGCATTAGCATCCGTCATCTTCCCTCTCCGGCTATAAATAATCCTGTCACCAGGTAGGCCCGCATCCGCGCTTGCGCGCAGTGGAAGAGTGAATCAGGCTCCAGAGGTGAAGCACTTTGATAGTCCAGCAGATGAAATATTTGCTGACTTCTCTCACCTCTGGGACTGGCCCCCTGATGGAGCCACTCAGATGTGAAAGTTCTTGTAAAGGTAGTGTTGGGATTTGCAGTGAGAGGATGGCTCACAGATCTGAGATCAGGCTCCAACTTTACATTTGGTGAGGAATTAACAGTCTATAATTGAAGCTGGAAGTGAGTCAAAGTGATTTTGAGGGATCTTTATTTTGTGACATGAAAACAGACTGCTGCAGCCCTGCAGTGCCTCCATCATAACATCTGTCTATCCCAAGCACATCACACCCTACCCACCAATACACACACAATTAATTGATGTTGCTAAGTTACAGCTGATTGGACCATCTGTGTGTGTGTGTGTGTGTGTGTGTGTGTGAGTGAAATAAATACATTTGGAAAGTTGGGATTTCTGATTGGATAGTGGGTAGTGAAGATATCAGAAAATCACTGAGATTTGGAGATGAGAATGTTTAACTTAGGCTAGTAAGTAACCTATTAGCAATCACCCTGAATGCCCTATAGAAACCATATTAGAAGAATTATAAACTTCACATTTTGCCCCAATTAGCAGTAAGAGCCGAAAGTTAGATTCATTCTGCAAATTTTGGTAAGCTATATTGCAGAATGATGATAGACAAAGGCATCAGATTCCATGCAGTCTGAGAATATCAAACATGTTTAATATTCAGAGCCAACTTTAGAAAAAGGTGCATATTTCTGCATGAGTTTGTTGTGATCAGAACAACTTTAAAGTCTGGTAGTGTGTGTTTCTCAGTTGTTTAGTTTGTGATGACCAGTTTTCCTTTGTAACCATTTTCAAAGTCGGCAAGTGTGATTCAACTCAACTAATTTTTATTTCTGGAGCACTTTCAAAAACCACAATTGGTACCAAAGTTCTGTAGATGAGAGTAACAAAGTAAACAAATAGATGCAACCCAGAATAGACCAACAATACATACAATTTACAACCCATTATTAAAAGCTAAAGAAAATAAATAAGTTTTTAACATCCTCTGAAATGATGGACGCAAATAAAGGGAAAACAAAACAGTTCCCAAAATGGAGCCCTGAGGAACCCCACACGTTACTGGCACAACAGAAGCTAAACAGTTCCCCAAACTTACTAAAATGGTTCTACCCTTAAAGGGGTCATATGATGCGATTTCAATTTTTCCTTTCTCTTTGGAGTGTTGCAAACACTAAAGTCTCAAAACCAAAGAGATATTCTTTATAAAAGTTAAGAGTTAACCACACCCTCCTAAAACGGCTCGTTCGAACACGCCCCCACATGTCTACGTCACGATCTGGGAAGATTTGCATAACGCCGCCCAAATGTTCACGCAAAGAAAGGCGGCTTAACTTTTATTCTCGCTGTAGTATTGTTAACGCTGCAGCCATGTCCTGAAGACGCTGTGTGCTTCGTTGTGAAAGCGAAACTACTTTGTTTGGTCTTCCAAAAGAGGACAATATC